TTCTGCACCGGGATGGCCGAGGTACTGGTTTGTCTTGTGCATAGTCTGCGGTCGCTGGGCGTGTAACTGCGGCACTCCGTGTCGCTCGATGGACGCGTTAACGTGCGGTATCTGCCAGTGCTCGCTACGCTGAGCCTGGTGCGCATAATCAGGACCGCGATTGCTGTTAATTTCAGACTCGGCGTAGTGCTCCAGCCGTTGCGCGCCGGGCGGTCGGCCGGGCAGCGGCTGGCGAACGCGGTGAGCCGCGAGCTCTTGCATGCCTGACGGCATATGCATTCCGCGATGAACAGGGCCAGACGCCGTCTTACCGAGCTGCACCACGCCGCTGTAGTTGCCTACCTGCGGAGGACTGCGCATCATGTGGCTCGGAGGACCGTGCATTTGTTGTCGCTGCGCCGGGTGAGCCCCCAGGCAGCCGTTCATGTATTCCGACTTTGCATGAACATTTGAAGGATGAAGCTGGCGAGATGCGTGCTGCGGCGACGCGTTCCAGGTCGGCTCGCTGTAGCCAGGTTGCTGCGGCCGAAACTCGGCTCGCTGCATGTCCATCGAATGCATCATCGGCGGCTTGCCGTGTGGAGACATCATCGGGTGCATCATGTTGGGCATGGCGCGATTGAGATAGTAGTCGGGTCCGCCGAGTTCGATGTTCGGCGGGCGCGCGCCCATTTCGAACCGGTTTGTCGAATTCGGCGCGTTCAGCGCGCCCTCCGCGGCGTAATCGCGCTGCTCCTCGTCCGCGGCCTGTCGCTGGTTCGCGAGTAGCTCGCGGTGGCGAGCGTCTCGGTCCATCAGCCAGCCTAGGTGACGGCGCTTTACTGAGCGCGTTCAATTGAATTGAAAAAAAATGGACAAAATGAAGAAGGCCGTGATCTTCTCTGGGCAGACGCAGTTGAAGCGCCTTAGCGCAATGCGGCTGTGACAAGCGCGAGACCTACGGGTTTACTGCGTCGCTGCTAGTGCCCGCCTCGAGTCTGGCGAAACTAAGGGAATATGTCGCTGCAGCTTGGCGCGAGTTGGCCTTGCGTTGCAGCGCGCACAAAACTGCGGAGCACAAAGCATAAGTAAAAGCTACGCCCATAGTCATGTAAACTAGCGCGAGGTACGACGGCAGCAGCTGCTCGACAATGAGACCCAACGCTAAGAACGGCGTGGAAGCTGTTTGCAAGTAAGCGCGCACGCTGTGCTTCTGTTTCAGCGAGATGAACGTGACAATCTCGCATTCCTCGAGATAGGCGTGTGCGCTGTGCAGCAAGCAGCAGAGAACCAGCGAAGCGAAAACCGACAAGTTTGCGTATCGCAGTAAAGCCAAGTTGGTGGAGTGCGACACCACAGAGACCAGCACCAGAGTTCCCTGTGTCGCAAATGACGTGATAATGGCTAGCGCCGAGGCAGTCGGCACGAAGTCGAGCCCGTGGCGCCGGAAAATCGCCTGGTAGGCGAACTCGAAAGCGCGGTGCGCCAGCATTTGCGTCAGCATGAATGGCGCTAGGCTTAGCCAGCTAATCGGGTTAGTGCGCAGTAGGCAGGCGGCGTAATTCAGAACGAGGTAGTAAAGCAGGTTTACGCTGACGTGTTGCGCGAGCATGATGTAGAAGGTGATGCTTTGCACTGCATCTTCAACGCCCTGCGCAGCGCCTTCGTTGTCCGGCGTGTCTAGTTGGTCGCGCGAAACGAAAAAGGAGCTGAATACAAAGATTTCTGTGTAAAGCAGTTTCAGAGCCGGCGGCAGGTTTACAAAGCTGTTCAGAGGCGCCGGGTCAAGCAACTCAGTGACCTGTTGTGGCCTCTGCGGCTGCTCGCCAGAACCATGGACGGTAGAAGAGTCGCCGCGTACCAGTCGCGCGAGCTCGTCCGAGCCCTCATGCAGCATTATCGGCAAGCGGTTGAGCTGGCGCTGGTTGATGCTGTACAGCGAGCTTATCAAGACAGACGATGCAGCGAAAAACGCCGCAAATGTTAGAGCGGCATACAGCACGAGGCGCGCTTCTGTGGCTTGGAAGCTCAGCAGCAGCAACAGGAAGAGGAAAATCGATGAGCTGTCTGCACCGAGCGGCATCACCAACGTCATCGCGTCGTGCATGTGGTAGTTCGTGCTGATTGAAAACAGCGAGAAATACATCGCTCGCGCAATGCTCTGCACGAGCTGCGCAAGAACGATGAACGGCAGAATGACCCAGAGAGCGGTTTGCTGCAGCGCAAAGAAGCTCGCCAGCGCGCACAGCGCACTGATGGCGAAGTGTGCGTAGACGTTTTGCAAGTACTTGAAGAGCAGCAGCGCAGGAAGAATCGCGAGTTTGGAAGCCAAAAACGCCACAGCGACGGGAAGCGAAACGGCGCTTGGTGATTTCTGCGTGAGCGCCTCAACATACTGCTTTCTGATAGAGTCAAAGTCGGTGTTTTCATCGGCTGCAGGCTTTACGACCTCTAGTTGTTTGCCCGCCTCGTGGCATACGCGCAGCAACTCAAGCGCTTCGGCGAAGCTCGATTGCGATGGCCGCTTGCCGCGGAGTCCGTTTTCGAAGCATTCAGTCAGCGCGCTGTCGCACGCAGACACGTCTGTCTCGCGCACCCACGCCGGCAGCTCCGCCGGCGCGCCCTTTAACGACGCAAGTGTGTCGAGCAAGTGAAATTTCGCGCGATGCATGTGCAAGTAGCTGAGCAGCAGCTGCGCAGCGAAGGGGTCATTGAGTAACCGGGGGATCCCGTTGTAGTACAACGGGATGACAATCGACAGGAAGCTTTTCAGGTAATGCATGCGCGTTTGATGCGTTGGTCGTGCAACAATTCTGACGGGAGCTTGACGTGACGGCCGCGTTTTCCGGGTGTGCAGCGCGCGCTACTCTCCTTCCGCGTGGTCTACGGCTTTCTGGAAGCGCGCCAAAGCATGTTTGAGCGCCGCCTTTTTGCCTGCACCAAGCAAGTTCTTTGCTTTGAGCGTGGGAGGAAAGTTTATCGAATTTCTCGCTTTTGCCGCCGCGCCGAACGGCACTGAGTTTTTGAGTTGCATGTCCTTTAGGTTGTTAGTCGAGCGCCCGAAGTTGAACGAGCCAGTAAACTTCTTCGGTGCAGCGGGCAGAGGAATTTCCTGCTGCATCGCGGCAGGATCTTTGAGCAGCGAGTTTATCGTTTCTTCGGTGGCGCTCGTTTCGCCGTCGTTTCTTGCCGAAGCGAGAAATGGCGACAACATCGTGAGGCCCGACTCGCGACGCTGCTCGGCCTCGGACTTGTCGGTCGTCGGTGCGTCGGTGTCGACGTTTCGCGTGCTGAAAATGTGATTCGGAGCGTCTTTCGCTGCGTAGTTGCTTAGCGACTTAGTTTCAGCAGGAGACGGCTCGCTGGAGCGCGCCGTAGCGTCGTTAAACTTCACGCCTCGGACGTTTTTGACAGCGGACTTCTTCAAGAAGCTGAGATCCGGTCGGTTCAGTGCTTCAGCCTTAACCCGTCTTTCAGGGTCTGCTGCCGCGGGCGCTGTGGCGACAAGCTCGTGCGAGCCGAGCGCCTCCTGCGGCAGTGGCGCAGTCCGATCAAGACTCGTTTTGAGCCGACTGGAGGCGCCTAAGTTACGCGTCTTGCTGAGTGCTGCTTTGTACAAATTTGACTGCTGCGGCCCGCGGCTGTACTGCCGCCTCGCGTAATTCCGCAAGTCTGCTATCGAAGCGTGTCCGGCGCGACTCGGGTCGCGTTCCGCCGTAAAGGGCGCGATGAACTGTGTTTTGTTGATTGTGTCGTTGATGTTGTGTAGCAGCTGTTTGTTGAGCTCTTTCATGCGGCGCTGCTGCGCCACTTTCAGTTTCTGCGTGATCTCGTCGTAGTCGATATCGAACCCCGCCTTGCTGCGGTTGTGGTCTTCCTTCAGCAAGTAGTCGGGGTTCACGAACGAGATGCCTTGCACGTGGCTGTTGCAGAGCTCGTCGACGATTTCTGTTTGCAGCTGGGCGACCAGTCTTGCAGCCTCAGGGTTGCGGCTGCGCATGCCCGCCAGCCGTTGCAGGCTGCGCAGCGCGTACAGCATTTTGTGGTGACGCACGACTTCCATGCGCTGAATTTCCAACTCGCTCAAATCTTCTTCGACGCCCTCGGGCGGCAGCGCCATCAAAACCGAGCGAATGATGTCTACCAGCACGGCCACCTCAGGATGGGTTGGCAGCAGGTGCTCGTTGGCGCGGCCGGCTTCATCGAAGTCGTTGTCTCCCAGGACCAAGACTTCGTGAAACAGCTCTGAGTGCGCCGAGGCGGAACCTACCGTCGAGCGCACTGTTGTGCCCATTGATCAACTCTGTGGTTTGCGCAAAGGCCGCGCGGATTTGTTTGTCCAAGCTGGACTCAGCCGGACTGTTTCGGGCTACCATGTTTTGCAAGGTGCATTTCGCGTGTCGCGAATGCTCTGCGTCAAATTGCATAGCTTTCAACTGACGAGTTGCCGAAGCTTATATGCGCGCCGTGCCGGACCAGCGCCACGCATGCGGCAACCCAGAAAACGCATTACATTGAAATTCAGCCTTAGACTCCGCGCAGATTGGCGACAAAGGTGATGACTCGACAGGTTGAAAAAGTGCGTGAGAGCGAAATCGCGCTCATTTGGTAATGACACGAGGAACGGCGTGTCGCAGGCGAGCTTGCTTAGCGGTCGTCATGCGCGTCGCGCGGATCTTTTTGCTGCGAAAAAGTCCCTTGAAAAAAGCGTTCATGTAGTTCTTAACTTCGTTGCCATGCATAATGTTTAGGTACCACATTGTGGACCATATGTGCGGGTGTGGAACGAGAAGAGCAACAGGCATTTCGAGCTAATCTACAAAAAAGATTTAATATTTTGCTCGTCCCGTTCTCAATTACAGTCTTTCTGCCGCTACATGCTGCAGCTACACGCTACACGTAATGTAAGCTTTTTTGTATGCAGCTTTTCAGCTTCTTGGTTGGACTTTTCCTCCAGCTGCTGACAGTCTTGGCTGTGAGCGACGCCCGGGGGCGCGAGATCGCGGCAGAACCCGATATCGTTATGCTGTTTTTGACAAAGAACGGCTTAGATCTGAAGAAAACGTGGGACGCATGGCACGCCGCAGCTGAGGCGCGGCTCCGAGAACGAACCTCGCAGCCGGATCCGCTGCGCGTTCACGGCGTATTGCTGGCGCAGAGCATGGGCAAGGACTTGCAGTCGCGCTTGCCGAAGTTTATCGGAGAAGCCGACGTAGTGCCAAACCCGCAAAAGGCGCAACGCTTCTACCTGATGGGCGTAACACGGCAACTGTTTAGTCACGCGCTCGCGCGTTATCCGGACGCGACGCACTTCGTCTTGGTGAGCGAGTCGACGGTGCCCGTTGCGAATCTCGAAGAAATGCTGGGAGAGTTGTACGCGGACAATCGCAGCCAAATCGATATCTTCTGCATGGACCACCGTGACGGCTACCCGAAGCACTCCGAGTGGCTCATTCTGCGCAGAGACCATGCTCAGCACCTCGTCGCTGACCATCGCGCCTGGAACGACTACGCGCCGTACGTCGCGGGCCTGTGCCCGACCTTCTCGAGCGGAAGCGACGAGTACTACCCGTTTCGCATCATTTTGGAGAACATGGGGCTGAAGAACATCGACGCCATTCAGAAGCATTTCAAGCTCAACGCGATGGACACCGTCTTGGGCAACCTTAATTGGAAAACCTTCGTAGATTGGTCTCTGCACGACGCAGACGGCGTCAGGAAAGGGTTTGGCAGCACGCAAAACAACGCTGCAGAGGGCCACCCTTCTACGTTTTTAACGTTGAAAGCCGACTTTTTGCGCTACTTGACGTTGCTAAAGATGCCGTGGTTTCTCCGCAAAGTGCAGTCCGACGACACGCAGGTCGACGAGTGTGCTTCGCACCCCCTTATGCTGCTGAGCCGAGCGATCGACTCCGACCTGTTTCCCGCTACGAAGCGGCCGCAGCGGATCGTCGAGTTTTCGGTGAATTTGGGGAAGAACGGCAGCTGCAGACTGCACCAGTTCATGGAGGTCATGTACCGCCACAACGCGTTCCGCCCGGTCTCGCTTGACCGCGCGCAGAAGACCATGTTCCGCACAGAGACGCGCATGCACAACATCGGCGAACACGGCTACTCTAAAATTTATCAAATCAGCAATGGTCGCGAAGTGAACGACGCGACGCTAGCCAAACTGCTAGGCGAAGACGTGTACAAGAAGAGCCGCGCCGAAGATTTGCGCGTAGTGCGTCCGCCACTCGAGATTTCGGTCATCGAGCCGCTGGCTGCGGCAAAACACATTAGCTAGCGCAAAAGCTTCGCAGCTTCGGCGAGCAAATGCTCCGGTGTTTTTCGCACGAACACGATGCCGTAATTGGAGTGCGCGCAAGACTGGTAGGTTTCCAGACTGAGCTCTCCGGCCTCGCCATGTTGCAGCAGTACGGGGCTGTCGTGCGTGCGGTAGCGCAGCATGGAGCGCGGGTTGCCCGGCTGCCCCGTGATGTCTGCCCGTTGCCCGACTTTCAGCGATAGCGGCAGCGGTTCGCCCGCCGCGTCGACAACCACGAGCCACTTCGGCTGCGCGCAAATTGTCATGAACAGGACGTAAAACCTTTGCACCTTTGAGCGGATGCTGTTAGCGTGAAAGAGCAGCGAGCTTAGGAAAGCCATAAGCCCGCTGAAGCGCGCAAGGTTTACGGGAGCGCCGAGCTTGCTGCTTTGCGAAGCGGAGTAGATGCCCTGTCCGCAGTACACGAAGTTCTGCGCGATGCGCGCGGCGCTGAGCGCGGTGTTGTCCGAGTAGTATCCGAGTACCGAGCGCAGAATTTCGGCCGCGCGCGAGTTGTGCGTGCCGAAGCAGACAATCCCGACGGCGATGATGGCGTTGATCACCACGTGTCCGTCGGCGTCGCGCGTCAGTCGCGCCAAAAGGTCAAGCACGATCGGGTCTGGCGCGCTGGCAAACGTCAGCGCGAGCCCCAGCGGCACTCCTCTTTTTGCGTAGATGTCGTCCATTTGAATCACGTGTTGCGAGAAGCGCACCAACAGCTGGCGCGCGAGCGGGTCGTCCGCGGCGATGACGTAAAGTCCGAACACGTTCAGACTCGGAAGCGCGCCCAGGAATTCGTCGCCTACGGGATCCAGCGGATACTCGACGCGTGCGTCATCCGGCGGAGCTTCGTCGCTCGTGGCGGTCTTCTTGACCTCTGCCTCGTCCGCGCTGTGCGGGGCTTCGTCCGCAGCGCCAGCAACCTCCGCGGCGGCTGCGGCGCTGGTAGCGGCGTCGGGTTTGGGACCGAGCATGCTCTCGCGCTTGGCTGCCTCTATAAACTCCAAGTCTAGCTTCGCGAGCAGTTGCGAGCTTTTGAGCGCGGCCTCCAAACGGTCCTGCACGAGCAACACGTTGCTCGACAAAGCCTGTGCGTACACCGTCACGAGCGCCACGGTGAACTTGCTAATCGGGTGCTCGACGGAGCTCAGGGTCTTGGCTACACGCTCGATGCCCTCCGGCACGCGCAGAAACAGCAGCGCGAGCCCGATGGACGCCCAGAACATGTCTGTCGTGGCAGTGCCGATGCCGCTGCAGTTCAGAATGAACTGCAAAAAAGGCTCCGCGACGTCGGACTCGCCGGTGCCGACGAAGACCATGCCCGCCGCGAGCGCAGAGATCGCATTGAGTTGCGGCGAGCTCGACGAGTCGTGGTTGAGAATGCGCGGCACTAGCACGTCCAGCGCGTCGCGGCGCGCCTGAGCGTGGTGGCCAAAGCCGAGCGCGAGCACCGCGTAGAGCTGTTCTTTAGCGTTTTCGCTCTCGAGCGCGGGCACCAGGTTGTTCAGTAGCACGTTGTCAAAGTCGGCGACGCCGTTGACACAGACGCCTTGCGAGAGTGCAACGCCTGCACGCGTCACCGAGTGCGCCAGCGTCATGTACGGCTCGAGCTTCTGTGCGACGGCGTCCATGTTCCAGCGGTTCGGCAGCGTCATGTACGCAAACTGTTCTGGAAAGTTGTGGAACAAGTTCTTTTGGTTTTCCTCGAAGTTCTTGGATATATAGTCGTCGAACCCGAAGCCCAGGTGCAAGAACGCGGAGAGCATCATACTGTTCAGCGCACAGCACTCCGAAGAGCGTTCGGAGAGCGCGCGCACTTTATCGCTCTTCAGCAAGTTTTCGACCGGTTTCGGCTTCTGCAGCCCGAGTTGCTCAACGAGAAACGAGAGGTATTTGAGCCGGTGCGCCTTGCGCAGAAACATTTCCACTAGCTCGCGCTGCGGGTGTTGCGTTGCGTAGAGCTCCTCGAGGCTGAAGTAGTGCTCCGACTCGCTGAGCATTGCGGCCATCTGCAAAACCATCAGTTCGCGCGTTTCGAGCATCTCACTGCTGGGCGGCGTCTGCGCGTAGTTGTAAGGCACGCTGACGACTTCTTTCCAAGGAACGACGATAATCTTTTCCGGCTCCTGCGCCTCGGGCGGCACCAGGTTCGGGTCTGCGCAGATCCGGAACAGCCGCACGATTTTGCTGCGGTCGCGGGCCAGCAGCGCGATCTCGAGCGCGCGCGCCAGGGCGCCAAAGCGCACACACAGTCCGTAGCAGAACTGCAACACGTTTAGCTGCACTTCGTCCTGACACTCCATGCGGCTGGTGGCGATCAAGTAGTCAACCGTGCGCATGCAGTCGAACCAGTCCATCGCAACGTCGAGCAGATCGACAATGCGCCCAGCTTCGTACTTCTCGTCAATCAGCGAGACTTTGATCCGACTTTGTGTCATCGCGGTCGACTCAGTTCGTTATAGCGCAGACAGCCAAATTGCGGCGCGATAATATTGACACGAATATTTAAAAAAGGCCGGCAGCTCGACCGGCGCTGTAAAAATGCAGCGCGCGGCTTAGTTGGTCTGCATTAAAAATGCGCCGGATAAATTCTCGTCCTCGAGCGTGTTTTTGGACCGCGGTATTACGCGTTTGGGATGCACGGTTGCGAGCTGGAAGTGCTTCGCTCGCGTGACAATCGCAACCTTGTCGTACAGCTCTTGCACCGTGTCCGAAGCGGAACAAGAAATGAAGTGCTTTTGGCCCTGTAAATCGCGGACACCCAGTAAATATTTGTTGTCTCTGCGCCGCGTTTCCGGCGCCTCCAGCGAGACTTGCGTCGTCACGGGCGCAGCGCACGGCGCGGACGCCGCGGCTGGCGGTCTTTCGCCGAGCTGACGGCCCCCGGCGGCCGTAAAGGCCGCCGGAGCGGCGTGCACGCCCGCGTCCGCGCGCGCGTCAAAGTTCTCGTCTTCGAGGTGCCGCACGCGGACTGCCACCGAGTCTTGTTGCACGTTGAAGTGTTTTTCGAGCCCGAGCGGCACCTTGCCTTCGCGGATCACGGCCCAGTTCTCGACGTTCGCCGGGTCGTCGTACGAATAGAAGTGCCCGTCGAGCCGGAAGCCGTTAGCGTACGAGTCTATGACAGGCCCGTCGGGCCCTTCGATCGCGAGCCCGCTCTTCTCGCCGCCCGCGTAGTATTCCTTCTTATCACCGTTGCCTGAGCCGAACAAGTCTTTGAACGTGCTGCCTGCCGCGAGCAACTACGTACCGAAACCCCATGACCAATGCGAACGTGATTGTTCGAACGAATATTTGGTCCAACAAATGGCTTTTAACAAAATTCGCTAATTTCGCGTTCGCACCGATGACCCCCGAGGCGCTCGCGGCGCAGCCGTGCGAAAAACTCTCTCCTATTGCGAAACCGCTCGCCAGCGACAAATTGCGCACGCGCTGTCTGAAGCTGCTCAAGAGGGTCGCGGAGCACGACGCAGCGCACGGACACAAGTCGCGCGCCACGACCAGTCTGCTGCGCGGCGCTGGCGAAATTACGAAGGCGCTGCGCAAGGACACCAAAGGGATCATTCTGTTCGCCACAGACGTCTTCCCGATCGACGTTGTCTCGCACTTGCCCGTGCTCGCGGAAGAAAAAGGCGTGCCTTACACCTTCTGCGCGGTGAAGAGTCTGCTCGGCTGCGTCTCGAAGTCTTCACGCTCTTCGAGCGTGCTGCTCGTTCGCAAGCCCGTCAGCGACGAAAAGCTGATGAAGCTCTACGCACGGTGCGAAAAAGACATGAAACACGAACTCGCAAGCTTCCTAGCCGAGCTGTAGGCGCGCTCAGTGCGCCGAGAGCTCTTCCGTCGGAAAGGCGGCGAGTGCCGGCAGCACCAGCGTTGGCGTGAGGCCGCTGCGCGCGATCTCCTCGTCGCCGTACACGCCCGACTGGATTAGCACTGTCGAAATCCCGCAGTTCTGCCCGAAGCGAATGTCCGTGTACAAGTTGTCGCCAACCATCACCATTTCTTCGCGAGTGATCCCGAGTTTCTGTTGGATTAGCTCGCCGATATACGGTTCTGGCTTCCCGCAGAACCGGTAGTTCGCGTCGGCCGGCAAACTTTGGATGACCGACTCGAACACAGAGCCTGCGCCCGGCAGCACAAGCGTCGGCCCCGGAAACTTCTTGTCGCAGTTACTGAAGTAGATCGGGCACTTGAACTTGTTGTACGCTGCGACAATTTGCATTAACTTCATGTAGTTGAAGTGCACGTCGAACGCCACCGCGATCGCGTTCACCGGCTGGTGCATCAAGTCGATCTCGACCTGGTAGCACTGCGTGCCGATGATCGTCACTGGCTCGAGCTGCGCGATCTTCGCGATCTCCTCCTTCATGCCTGCGGAGCCAAACGTCAGCACTCGCCCGCGCACTCCGTCCATTTCTATGCGCTTGCCGAGCAGGTAGGCGCTGCACAAAATCTGCTCCTCCGAGTGCACGGTCACGCCGAGTTTACGCAGCTTGCGTACCAAGTCGTTGCGCGAAGCCGTGCTGTTGTTTGTCAGAAAAAAGACCTTGAGTCCTTTCTGGTAAAAAGTGTTGATGGTAGTGTCGGCGCCGGGAATTTTTTTATTGACCAAGTAGACGACGCCGTCCAGGTCGAGGATCACAGCCTTGCATTTCCGCAGCCACGCGCACGCCTGCTCCGGCATCTCGCTCTATGTGTACCGCGAAAATCAATTTAAGAAAAGTTTAATACGGCAGTTTTCGAACAGCCGCGGACGAACGCCGAGCGATGCAGAGCGCAGTCAGTCTGAAGCAACGCGATTCGGTCGTCGATATCTTGGACACGGAAAACGATCGCTGCATTCAGCAGCTCGAAAGCCGCGTCTCGCAGTTGAAAGAACTCAGCTTGAAAATCAAGTCGGAGCTCTCGACCTCGCAGAGCTCGCTCGCCAGCTTAGTAAGTGTTCGCAGCTTGCACGCAGCGCGACGGCATCAATTCGTTCAACTGGATGGTGCGCAGCGGGCTAAAGCGCATGGATTACCTGCGCAGTTACCGCAGCACCAAGGCCGTCTGGGTGGTCACGCTTTGCGCCGCCGCGAGCATCTTCTTCGTTTACCTATATTTATATTTTAGCCGCATTATGTTCAGCTAGCGCGCCAACAATGGAAGCGGCAGTCGTCGATGCAGTCTGCAGCGACGAAGATTACTGTCCAAGCGAGACGAGCGCTAGTGAGCTGGAAGAGAGTGCTAACGAGGCCGATGCCGCGGCATTCGCTGCCGGCTGCGCCGCCGCGGGCGCCGCGGATGCGTCGCTCGCGCGCTTAAAGCAGCGCTGCGCCACGACGCCGGTCTCTGAACTGCGCGTTCGCTCGCTTCCGCTTCCCGTGGCGACTGGCGCAGAGCATGCGCCTACGGCCCAATGCGGCGCGGCCGAATGCGGCGCGGCCGAAAGCGGCGCGGCCGAAAGCGACTCAGCGCAGCCAAGCGTCGTCGCCTTGGCCGAGATCCAGCGCATTCGTGCCGCGGTCTCCGCCGCTGCCAACAAGATCCACCGGAAAACCTTCAAGTTCGGCGGAAAGATCTACACGCTGAACATAAACGCCGCGACCGGCGTGCAGACCGTCTCGGACGTGCAGTACGACTCGCAGCTTACGTCGATCCGCGGCTGTCTCGACGAGGCCGGCGCGAGAGAAGTAACCTCGCTCGACAAGTCGAAGCTCGACTGGCAACAGTTCATGAACCAGAACCAGCACAACAAGGCGCTCGCCGCCAACTTCGAGGCGCAGACCAGTGTCGTCGACAAGGTCGACTTCTTGTCTCGCGTTACTGACAATTCTAAACCTTTATATAAAAGATTTCGCACCAAAAAATGACCCGGCTGCAGCGGCGCCTTGCCTAAACTGCGCTTCTCGCTGCCAGATTCGCGTTCCGTCCGCTGCGCCGTCCTTCGCGTGCTGCCATGAGTTTCGAGATCTCCAAGTCGCCCTCCGACGCGATCAGCCAGCTGCAGTTCAGCCCTTTCCGTGCCGCTCCCGACCGCTTGCTCGTGAGCAGCTGGGACTCGTCGCTGCGCATCTACGACGTCGTCGCAAACGTGCTCTCCAGCGTGTACTCGAGCCCCAACCCGTTGCTCTGCTGCAGCTTCCTCGACTCCGCCGAGCACGTCGTTTGCGGCGGACTCTCGCGCTGCGTCGTCTGCTTCGATTTCCAGTCTGAAACAGAGATGCTGCTCGGTTCGCACCTACAACCCGTCTCTTGTTGCGCGTTCGACAGTGTTGCAAACAGCATTCTTACAGGCAGTTGGGATTCGACCGTATCGCTGTGGGATGCGCGAATGCGCAATCTGTGCAACAAACTGAGCTGCGACGGCAAGGTTTACTCGCTGTGCGTCTGCTCGCCGGCGAGCGGCAGCGCGCGCTACGTCATTGCCGACTCGACCAAAAAGGTGTACGAATACGACTCGCGCAACCTGCAAGAGCCGCTCAATCTGCACTACAACTTAGTGGCTGCGCAGCCCAGATCGCTCGCTGCGATGCCTTCTGGCGAAGGCTACGCGCTCTCCACGACGGAGAGCCGCGTCACCTATCAGTACTTCCCCGAGTTCGAGCAAGAGGGCCGTACGAGCTACTCTTTTCGCTGCCACCGCGAAAAGCTCGAAGAAGAAACCGAGGACGGCGACCCCGTGGTGCTGGACGAACTCTATCCAGTCAACGCCATTGCCTTCAACCCGCAACAGGGCACTTTCGCTACCGGCGGCGGCGACGGAAAGTTCGCTTACTGGGACGGACTGAAGAAGAAAAGATTGTGGGCACTGAAAAACGCGTTTGACAGCAGCGTAGTCAGTCTTTCCTTCAATTGCGAAGGCTCGCAGCTGGCCATCGCCGTCAGCAACAACGGCACGGGCAAGCTCGACGTCACGCACATCCGCCCGAGCCAGATCCTGATCTTCAACACGCCGGACGTGACTAAGCCGTAGCTGGCGCCCGCGCGTTGCGCTGAGCGGCCGCCGTGGCTACGCACGCGCAGCTGCTACTCTGTGAGACCTAGTTTCTTCTTGAAGTTTTCGTTCGTTAAGACTTCCGGACTTGCGTCCTCGACTCGATCAACGCTCTCCAAGCCGGTCGTAGGCTGCGTGCGCGCTTCGCTGATGAATTTTGCAAACTTGGTCGCCACTTTGTGCTCGCTCGGCGGCTTGGGCGCGCGCGGTGCAGGCGCGCTCTTCAAGAACGCAGAAATTACCGCGCCGTGCAGCTCCAAGCCGTCGAGCCGCTGCAACGCAGACCACGCAGCTTGGAATGACTGAAACTCTAGGACGATAAAACGGCCGTTGCGCCCAGTGTGGAGCAGTTGCGTGAAGCGTGCAGGCTCGACCGCCGATCGCAGTTCCGCCGAGCAGTCTGCGGGAACATTTTTGAGCAGCAGCGACGTGTTGCTCAGCAGTTCGCGCAAGCTGCGCGCGTCTTCCGGCTTGCAGGTCTGCAGCTCTTTGAGATTAAAAGGGCCTTCCAAGCCGCGCAGATCTTTGTGGTTTGCTAGCACGCTTGCGATGAAATTCGCGTCGCTCGGTTTCCGGAAGAAGAGCAGCGAAAAGCGGGGAACGTCCAGCAGCTCTAACGACACTTGCGAAGCTGCGCAGCACTGTTCGACTGTTCGCCGGTTCTCGCTGTTCAGTGCTCCCGAGTACACGAGAAGTGCGTCTGGCGTCGCGAGGCTCGGCGTCGGTCGCGCAGCGTTTCTCGCCTCGAGCGGGCGCTGCTTCATTGGGATCGACTTGGCGATGCGCACCGTCGCCTCGCCGAACTCGAATGCGCCCAACGCGAGAACTGCTTCGTACGCCGCGTCGTCTGTGAACTCCACGTAGCAGCGCGATGCGACTTTGTTTTGCGGAAATCGGATCTCGGCAATGCTGTTGTGATGCGCGAAGAGCGGAGTTTCGGTCAGCAGCAGCTCCTTGAGCTGCGCGACGTCGCTCGCCAGCTGCGGCACGTTGCTCAGAAACAACACGTTCTCCTCGTGCTGCAGCAGCCGTTTTGTTTGCGAAGGCTGCGCTTTCAGCTTGCTGCCGTATAACTCTGCATTGTTCAGATACTTCAGCAAGCGCTTCAAGTCTTTGCGGCTGCCACACTGCACGTAGCAGAACGATTTCAGGTTGCCTGTCGCGTCTGATGGGGTCCGCAGCTCGAATTTGTTTTTCAAGCCTGCCTTCTCGATGAGCGCCAGCATGTCGCTGCGGAAATACTTCACCGGCAGCCCAGACACAAAGAGTGTGCAGCTTTCGCACTGCGCCGTAGCAGACAGCAAAAAGTGCTTGCTGTCGTATGTCGCGGGCGCTGCGCAGTCCATCGGCGCAGCGAACAGCGCTATACTCGCGACCTAAATTAGAAATCAGTTCATTAATTATTCGACCATTATGGTCCGGCTCAGCCAGCTGACGATTTGCGGCGTCCGATCTTTCAAAATCGATACGCGCAGCAGCTTCATTTTCGGCAAGCCGCTCACACTAATCGTCGGACATAATGGCGCGGGCAAGACCACAATTATCGAGTGTCTGAAGCTCGCACTGACTGGAGAGTTGCCGCCTTCTTCCAGTCGCGGCCAGTATTTTTTGTGCGACCCCGTGCTGCTCAACACAAACGAGGTCAAAGCGTTCATCGAGCTGAACGTCGAAAAGGAGGAGGACAATTACATGGTCATCTACCGCGCGTTCCAGCTAGTCGTCGCGCAAGACAAAATCACGAACGCGGAGAAGTACAGCTTCAAGGCGTGCGAAACGTACCTCGATTTTTTCAAAGCCGGCGTGCTGACGCGCATTTCGCCGACCAAGCTGCAGCTCATCAATGACTCCATCGCCGAGTACATCGGACTTTCGCCAGCCGTACTGAGCCACATTCTGTTCTGCCATCAAGACGACAGCTGCTGGCCGTTGGCCGATTCTGCGCTTCTGAAGAAGCGCTTCGACGACATTTTCGGTTCCGCGGTCCACGCGAAGATCCTCGACTCGCTCGCCGCCGCCGGCAAAAAATGGGCGAAAACGCTCAAAGAGCTCGAAACGCGACTGTTGCTGCTACAAAAAGACTGTGAGCGCTACGCCACCGTCAAGAACCAAATTGTCGACTGCACTTGCGAGCTCGCAGATTTCAACATGAACCTCGTAGACGTGCGCCACCAGGCGCAGTTCCTGAAGGACGAAGAGAGCAAGTTGCGTGCGAACTTCGAAACGTTGCTCGGCCGAAAAACGCGGCTTTCTGAGGCGCTGCGTCTGAAGGCGCTCACGGCAAACGAGCTTGAACTACGCTTTAGCAGCGAGTTTGCCGCGCTCCGCGCGCGCTTCGCGGACGCCGACGCCGGAGATTTCGAGAGTTTCTGGGGCGACTTCAAAAACAATCAGAACTGTCTCGTCACCACGGAGCGCGAGTACACAACGCTTTGCAACGAGCTTGCTGCCTGCGAAAAGCAGCTGCAGCTGCTCGAGTCTCGCTACCGCGCAGGTGCGGAGCTGGCGACAGAGGTCGCAAAGATGCGCGACGCGCACGCCGCTGAGGTGGCGGCATGCGAAGCACGGCTGAGCGACTTGCGGCGCGAACGAGAAACTGAAGAGGCTCGTGGCGCGGAGCGCAAGAGCCGAGCTACTGCGCTGCAGAACGCCGCTTACGAGGAGGCGGCACTGCAAAAGCGCCTGGCCGCGCTTTCGTCGGAGCTGGCAGC